AAAATCAATCCACCCCAGCCCCACTAGTACTCAAATTTGGGCATATCGGGTACTTACGCCAAATTTGGTCCACTGAATGAAAATACATCCTGCATATCAGATATTTACATGATGATTCATAATTAAATTCAAAATTAAAACTATAAATCCCAGTAACTACAACTCCCAAATGATCCCCTGGGGTGGGGTCGTAAGGGGATGTTAGAGGAGTTGCCAAAGACCATCAGAAACCACAGTATTTTCTGTTGGTCATGGAGGTTCTGTGTGGGAAGTTTGGCCCAATTCTATTATAGGTGGGGTTGAGAATGTTCTTTGATTGTAGGTGAACTATAAATCCTAGCAACTACAATTCCCAAATGTCAAGGTCTATTTCCTTCAAACTCCACCAGTGTTCATATTTCAGCATATTGAGTATTCGTACCATTATCTCTGGGACTATGCCTCAAAGATAATTTTTTGAGTCCACAGCATTGTCTGGATGTGGTGAACTACAACTCCAAACTCAAGTTCAAAGCCCACCAAACCCTTCCAGTATATTCTGTTGGTCTTGGGAGTTCTGTGTACCAAGCTTGGTTCAATTCCATTGGTCCAGATCTATCATTGTTTGAGTCTACAGTGTTCTCTGGATGTAGGTGAACTACAAATCCCAAACTGAAGGTCAATCCCCACCAAACCCTTCCAGTATTTTCAGTTGATCATGGAAGTACTGTGTGCCAAGTTGGTGGAGTTCAGAATGCGTTTTGATTGTAGGTGAACTATAAATCCCAACAACTACAACTCCCAAATGACAAAATCAATCCCCCCCAACCCCACTAACACTCAAATTTGGGCATATCGGGTACTTGTGCCAAATTTGGTCCATTGAATGAAAATACATCCTGCATATCAGATATTTACATGATGATTCATAACTAAATTCAAAATTAAAATTATGAAGTAGCAATGAAAATAATGTTATGGTTGGGGGTCACCACAATATGAGGAACCACATTAAGGGGTCGCGGCATTAGGAAGGTTGAGAAACACTGGCCTAGAACAACCCATAAGCCACACTTAGGTAGCTCTGTATCAGGCCAATAAAAATATTGACTTAGCCAGTTGTATGAAAATATAAACACACCTCACCGCACAGACATGCATCAATGCTGCCCTTCCTACAGCATTCCTGGATGCCTGGAGCCCTTTAAGGCTGTGTTTATATTGCCATGCAGTTCGACTCCACTGCCATGGCTCAGTGCTATTAAATCCCGGGAGTTGTAGTTTTGCAAGGTCTCAAGCCTTTTGCACTAAAGAGGACTGGTGCTTCATCCAGAGACGGCCCTAGGTAAGCAAACAGTAAGCATTTTGGCACCCCCACCCCAAACAATCACTGAAATATATTTTCTGTTTGTCGTGGGAGTTCTGTGTGCCATATTTGGTTCAATTCCATCATTGGTGGAGTTCAGAATGCTCTTTGATTGTAGGTGAACTCTACGTCCCAGTAACTACAACTCGCATATGTCAAGGTCTATTTTCCCCCAAGAGCCCCCCTGGGCAAAATCAACTAAACTGCAAATGCTTACTTCGCGGAATGGGTTGAGCCGCCCCTGGCTTCACCAAACTACAACTCCTAGGATGCCAATGTCAGTTCAAGCATTTGCAGTATAGTTGATTTTGCCCAGGGACGTTCTTGAGGCGCTCTTGGGGGAAAATAGACCTTGACATATGCGAGTTGTAGGTTTTTTTATATTATTATTATTATTATTTTATTAAAAAAACTACAACTCACATATGTCAAGGTCTATTTTCCCCCAAGAGCGTCTCAAGAACGCACCTGGGCAAAATCAACTATACTGCAAATGCTTACTTCGCATAATGGGTTGAGCCGCCCCTGGTTTCACCAAACTACAACTCCTAGGATGCCAATGGCAGTTCAACTGGGGTCCCACTGCATTCAATCTGGTGCAGACCTGCCCTTTGTAGAACTACAACTCCCAGGATTTCCACAACAGAGACATGGCAGTTCTGGCGGAGCCACACTGCATTCATTGTCATGTAAATATTTGTTGTTCATTCATTCAGTCGTCTCCGACTCTTCGTGACCTCATGGACCAGCCCACGCCAGAGCTCCCTGTCGGCCGTCACCACCCCCAGCTCCTTCAAGGTCAGTCCAGTCACTTCAAGGATGCCATCCATCCATCTTGCCCTTGGTCGGCCCCTCTTCCTTTTACCTTCCACTTTCCCCAACATAATTGTCTTCTCTAGGCTTTGCTGTCTCCTCATGATGTGGCCAAAGTACTTGAACTTTGTCTCTAGTATCCTTCCCTCCATGTAAATATATCCTTAGTGAAACTACAACTCCCAAGATGTCCATTGCACTGAACTATGGCAGTTGACGTGGTGCTAAAATGCATTGATTCCCCAATGTAGATGTACCCTGAGTGTTTCCAAGACCTCAAAAACAATGAGTGCGAAAACCAGAACCCAAAGAGTCTACTCATTTTGGCTGCCCTCAGTCCAAGCCTTGCAAAGTACAGCAGGAACTAGAAAGCCTTTTCGTTCTCTCATAGGAGATCCTCCAAAAAGATTGCTGTTTTATGGGTGAAGGCGCTGCTGTTGGAGAACCACTGGTCCTAATTCCTGTCTATTGTGAAGCAAATCTGAAGGGAAAAGATATGAGTCCTACTCGAAACGGTGAAACACAAAAGTACGAATCAAAGCCTGGGAAGAAAGCCACATGGATTTCCCCACACTTGCATTTTGCATTCAATCCGGTGCTTTTACCGAGAAGGAAATGTGAATATCAGGCTTATCTGGAGGCAAATATGACTCCTAATGTGCTAATCTTGAAAAAAGGAGAAAAATCAAAGGCACGAATCTAAGGCAGGGATGAAAGTCACCTAGATCCCTGCCCAACACACACACACACACTCACATATTTGTCAGTTCAATACAAACAACAATCTAAGAGAATAGAGATGGAAATATAGCAAGCTACGGAAATTGGATCTGTCAAAATGCAATGCACCCAACCTCAAGATGGGTATGTTTCAAACTACACATTGTACTGCTTTTATTGTTAAGCGAGGGAAATCAGTATATAATTTACTATCATTGTTATCATTATTATATGTATCATTATCATCATCATCATTATTATTATTATTATTATTATTATTATTATTATACTAGCCGTTCCCTGCCACACGTTGCTGTGGCTTAGTCTGTGTATATGTGCTTTGTGTGTGTATATATTTGTGTATATGTGAATTCATGTGGTTTTGCACATGCGTTGTAATGCATATTTTTTTGGTTTTTAAGTTTCTTCTGCTGTGTTTTTCAGTGTTTTTATGAGTGGTGGTCACTCGTTGGTCTGAGAGGTGTATTGTGCCCAAATTTGGTGTCAGTTTGTCCAGTGGTTTTTGAGTTATGTTAATCCCACAAACGAACTTTACATTTTTATTTATATAGATGCAAATACGCCATTTAGTATTCTTATATGTATTATTATATGCATTTTATATTTATTACGTTTAGTATTATTACATTTAGTATTATTATGTGCATTATATTTTTTATTATTATATGTCTTATCATATGTATTATATGTAGTTTTATTATATGTAGTATTGTTATATTTAGTATTCTTATATGTATTATTATATGCATTTTGATATTTATTACGTTTAGTATTATTACATTTAGTATTATTATGTGCATTATATTTTTTATTATTATATGTCTTATCATATGTATTATATGTAGTTTTATTATATGTAGTATTGTTATATTTAGTATTCTTATATGTATTATTATATGCATTTTGATATTTATTACATTTAGTATTATTATGTGCATTATATTTTTATTATTATATGTCTCATCATATGTATTATATGTAGTTTTATTATATTTAGTATTCTTATATGTATTATTATATGCATTTTATAGTTATTACATTTAGTATTATTATATTTAGTATTATTATGTGCATTATATTTTTATTATTATATGCCTTATCATATATATTATATGTACTATAATTATATTTAGTATTATAATATTATTATATGCTTTTATAGTTATTACATTTAGTATTATTACATTTAGTATTATTACATGCATTATATTTTTATAATTATATGTCTTATCATATGTATTATATGTAGTATTATTATATTTAGTATTCTTATATGTATTATTATATGCATTTTTATATTTATTACATTTGGTATTATTACATTTAGTATTCTTATATGTATTATTATAATGTCTTATCATATGTATTATATGTAGTATTATTATATTTAGCATTCTATATGTATTATTATATGCATTTTATATTTATTACGTTTAGTATTATTACATTTAGTATTATTATGTGCATTCTATTTTTATTATTATATGTCATATCATATCTATTATATGTAGTATTATGATATTTAGTATTCTTATATTATTATATGAATTTTTAAATTTATTACATTTAGTATTATTACATTTAGTATTATGTGCATAATATTTCTATTATTATTATAATGTCTTATCATATGTATTACATGTAGTATTATTATATTTACTATTCTTATATGTATTATTATATGCATTTTTATAGTTATTACATTTAGTATTATTATGTGCATTAGATTTTTATTATTATATGCCTTATCATATATATTGATAAGACATATAATAATAAAAAATGAGAGAAGCCTTCCACAAAGATGATAAATTCATCCGGTGTCTCCTGGGCAACGTCCTTGCAGATGGCCAATTCCCTCACACCAGAAGCGACTTGCAATTTCTCAAGTCGCTCCCGACATGACCAAAAAAAAATATCATATGCATTATATGTAGTATTATTATATTTAGTATTCTTATATGTATCATTATATGTATTTTTATATTTATTACATTTAGTATTATTATGTGCATTATTATATTTATTATTATATTTATAATATTTATTATTATTATTATTATTATTATTATTCTTTCAGGGTCCCTTTTCGCCTCCTTACCTTGCCCAGTCCGGATTTGGGAGAAGATCGGACCCGTTCGGCTCGCCAATCCCGGTCCCAATGTTGGAGCTTTCCTCCACGCCCAGAAAGTTAAATCTGGAAGCCCAGCATTCCTCTCCCGATAGTAATCCTAAGCAAGCAAGTCACAACACTTCCTGCCGGAGAACGAAGGAAGGAGCAAACAGAGAGCAGGAGGCCCAGATGATGATGACGGCCGGCCGAGAGACGGAGGAGGAGGAGGAGGAAAAAGAGGCATTTCCAGCCTTCCCCTCCCTCCCTCCCCGCCTGCTGTGTCTAGAAACTTGCATTACACAGCAAAACCCGAATCCACGCAGACGCATCGCCAGTCCAGGCCTTTGTTGGATTTGGTGACGTTTGACTTGCAAATTCAAGCCAGAGTTTGCAGCTGCAAGGAGAGGGCAGCCTTTGCATGCATCGCTCGGAGACAGTGGTCCACGAAAAGCACCTTCTCTTGTGCTAGTCATCTGCAAACCAGATCAACAATTGGGTCACACCGTCTACAGAAAACCCACACACACAGATAGATATCTATATAAAAACTCCAACCATCACCCACGTCAAAAAAGAAGCACAATTAAAGCCTTGGCAGACCGTGCAAGAAGAATCTGCGAAGCCCACCTCCTCCAAGATGAACTGAACCACCTCAACTGGGCTCTCCAGGCCAATGGAGACTCCACCTCAGACATCAGAAGAGCTGCAAGACCAAGAACAAGCCACGAGAGTCAAGATGAAGATCCACCCAGAGGAAAAGTGTTCTTGCCAGACATCAAGGGAACCACTGACCGCATAGGGAAGCTGATGAGGAAACACAACATACAAACTATCTACAGACCCACCAAGAAAATCCAACAAATGCTACGTTCAGCAAAGGACAAGAGGGATCCTCTCACCTCTGCAGGAGTCTACCGTGTACCATGCAGCTGTGGACAAGTCTACAGAGGGACCACCAAATGCAGCATTGCCCAAACACGAATCAAGGAACATGAAAGGCACTGCAGACTACTTCAACCAGAGAAGTCAGCCATAGCAGAGCACCTGATGAACCAACCTGGACACAGCATATTATTTGAGAACACAGAAATGCTGGACCACTCTCACAACCACCATGTCGGACTACACAGAGAAGCCATTGAAATCCACAAGCATGTGGACAATTTCAACAGAAAGGAGAAACCATGAAAATGAACAAAATCTGGCTACCAGTATTAAAAAACTCTAAAATTACAACAGCAAAACAGCAGAGAGGAAACAACCAGGCACATCTTAACACCTCTCAACAGAACATTTTCCCAGGCTCAGCCAAGCCTTCAACTGCTAATGAAGGTGGTCAGCTGAAACATTCACACCTAGCTTCAGCAGAGAGCTCTTTGCCCCACCCCAGTCATTCCACAGATATATAAACCCATTGTCCTATTTCCAACAGACCTCACTACCTCTGAGGATGCTTGCCATAGATGCAGGCGAAACGTCAGGAGAAATGCCTCTAGAACATGGCTCTATAGCCCGAAAAAACCCACAAGAACCTACCTTCTCTTGTATTTATTCCTAAAGGATGCCCATGAGGAGGTCTGTTTTGTGCATCAACCCTTTCTTTTGCCCACTTGGATCAGAGGCTGGGATTCTCAGTCTGACCAATGTCTTTTGTTTTTACTATACAGGAAAAATATGTCTCCATTAACCAGGAAACTGACTCACCTCCTGAGTGGTATTCCTTTGCCGTGACCTAGAAATTATCCCTGCTCTTGCTTTTCCAAATCGGAGCCCTTGTCTATACTGTAAAACCTTTTAAAAAGAGGGCAGTCCAGGGTCCCTTGGGCTGTGGGGGGCCAGACTATAGTTTACTGATGTTGCTGTTGTTATTGTTGTTGTTGTGTGCCACTTTGGTGGGAGATGGAGAGATGAGAGGAAAGGAAAAGGAAAAGGAAAAGGAAGGAAAAGGAAAAGAGAAAAAGGAGAACAAAAGGAAGGAAAGGGAAAGGAAAAGGAAAGGGGAAGGAAAGGAAAGGGAAAAGGAAAGGTACAAGGAGAGGGTGGCAGTGGGGCACAAATGGCAGAAAAGGTAGCAGCAAGTCTAAAGTTTAGGGCGAGGGATGGGGAAATTATCTTGACGGGATGAATATGACCCACGGGCCGTCATTTCAGGACCCCTGCTGTAAAATAACTGCAGTTTGGCATTTGAACTGCTATGGTTCAATGCAACTGCATATGGAGAGCCGTAGTTTTACTCAGAGCAATTGTGATTGTTCAGCTTGTGATTGTGTCTGATGTTCATGATGGGAATGGGGATGATGTTCCTGATGGTGGGCCTGGGTCTGTTGGCAATGAGGATGAGGGTTTGCCTGGGCCTGAGTTAAGCTCAGACGAGAGGCCCAAGCTGTTTCTGGAAGATTCAGAAGGTCACATTCCTGGAAGAGGCCCTTCACAGTCTTTCTCAGAGCAACTGATTGTGTCTGATGTTTATGATGATGTTCCTGGGTCTGTTGGCAATGAGGATGAGGGTTTGCCTGGCCTAAGTTAAGCTCAGACGAGAGGCCCAAGCTGTTTCTGGAAGATTCAGAAGGTCACATTCCTGGGAGAGGCCCTTCACAGTCTTTCTCAGAGCAACTGATTGTGTCTGATGTTTATGATGATGTTCCTGATGGTGGGTCTGGGTCTGGTGGCAATGGGGATGAGGGTTTGCCTGGGCCTCAGTTAAGCTCAGACAATAAGCCCGAGCTGTCTCAGGAAGATTCAGAAGGTCACATTCCTGGGAGAGGCCCTTTCCAGTCTTTCTCAGAGCAACTGTCTGAAGATAATTAGTCAGGTGCAGAAGTTAATGAGAGTCCAATTAGTGAGAGTGTAGATAGAATGTGGGGCTTTTGTAAACAGAGACAGAGTGCTCAGGTGCAAAGAAGATCAGTTCATTTACAGGAAAAGAGAGATGAGAAACCTTTATCTGGTGGCAAGGTCAAGAGAAATGCTTTCCTTTCAGTTTTGGGATCTGGAAAAGCCTTATATTGATTCATTGGAATGAGTTACCTCAGTTGAGTCAACGTTGGAATTTCATGTCAGTCTTGCTTTCAAGTATTCTTAGTTTCATGTACCAAGTTTTTGGCAAGCTCCTGTTTTGTGTATTGGATTTTTTTTATGCTGCCTTGTTTTGTGGATTCTTGTGCGTGTTTCATGGATTTAAATGCCTACGGACCTTGTTCTGCTTTGAAGCTCATGAAGTAACCTCTGTTAGTCCATGAGCTTCAAAAAAATGATCGCGCCTATCTCTGCAATCGCATCTCCTTCTATGAACCAGCACAAACTCTAAGGTCTTCCGGGGAGGCCCTCCTTTCGCTCTCACCACCGTCACAAGTACGGTTGGTGGGGATGAGAGAGAGGGCCTTCTCGGTGGTGGCCCGCCACCTCTGGAACGCCCTTCCAAGGGAAATAAGACAGGCCCCATCCCTCCCCTCCTTTCGTAAGAGCTTGAAGACCTGGTGGTTTCAACAAGCCTTTTCTAGTGCAGCCCCAAACATTATGGAATATGGCCTTCCATTTCTTACCTATTCCCCAGTTACCCCTCTAATAGGCCCTGGAAATGAGCAGCCACAAACCCATACCTGCTATACTGTTAGCCTGTTATAGCACTGTACTTCATTCCCGGTCCCCTCATATTTTGAGTTTGCACTAGCCTTGGCCTGGCTTTTAATTGCTCTGAATAGGCAGGATTATTTTTAATATACATGTGTTATTGTGATAATTTTATGCTTATGTTGTTTTGTTAATTTTATGTTATGCTGTTTACTTTGTATGTTTCGGTGATGTTACTTGGAAACCGCCCTGAGTCCCCCTCGGGGAGATAGAGCGGTATATAAATAAAGTTTTATTATTATTTATTATTCCTCTGCAGGGCACGATTACACAGAGAAGCCATTGAAATCCACAAGCTCTTTGCCCCACCCCAGCCATTCCACAGATATATAAACCCATTGTCCTAATTCCAACAGACCTCACTACCTCTGAGGATGCTTGGCATAGATGCAGGCGAAACGTCAGGAGAAATGCCTCTAGAACATGGCTCTATAGCCCGAAAAAACCCACAAGAACCTACATGCAATTCATTTAATACTTAGAATTGGGCTAACCTTCCCACACAGAACCCCCATGCCTTGAAGGGACTCGTTTGCACGAGCCTCCCTCCAACCTTGCTGATTTTATCAAGCTGGTGTGGTGTTTAAGGTCAGAGGTGTTTTTGTTAATTTTATGTTAGTTTATGTTAATTTTATGTTAATTTTATGGGAAACCTTATAGTGCATGAGAAAGTATAATCTGGTTTCTGAATGCAAATTATCTGCTTTCAACTAGACAAGATGTGTATGACACATCTCGTCAAACTATGTGTCAAACTATGTGTCATACACGAGATGTGTATGACACATCTCGTCAAACTACAGCTCCCAAGATCCCACAGCATGAACCATGGCAACAAAAGCGGGGTCAAACTGCATCGCTTCTTACTATGTAGATGCACCCCTTGGTGGGCTAACTGGAAGAGGAAAGCATCTGTCTTTTGTGCATCTTGCTACATTGTTTCGTAGGAAAATATCAGTGCCGGACAAGAAAAGGTTCCCCTTTGCTTTGGAAAGAAGCGCCCCAAAGAAGCCAAGAGGTGCCAAAAAGGAGACTTGCCATTGCAGCAATGCAGCAGGAAGAAATGAATTCACTCTCTAGCTCAAGAGCAGGAGGAAGCAATAGATCAAATGGGATCCTTTTTAATTTTTTTCCCCTTCCCTGATTCCTTAATTTCTAATTCCCCGTTCCATCCCTTCTTTGGTCCAAATGAAATACATTAGCCTTGGGCCAAACCGTGCCTAGAAAGTGTTTTGCATCCACTTATGTGTATTTCATTTCTTCCTACATCAGGAAACGCCATTATGTAAATGACATTCTGCTCATTCAGTAGCTGCAAGGGATAACTTTTCACTCCTGAAAAGGCAGATCTACAGAGCTAGTAGGCGCCTGGGAGACGTTATAGTGCATCAGAGAGTACGGCCCATCTACACTAGTTTCCAAATGCAGATTATCTGCTTAAAACTAGATTTATGAGTCGACACTGCCATATTATCTGCATTCAGAAACTGGATTATATGGCAGGGCAGATGAAGCCTAAAAGTCACCCTTGCTTTCTACTGCAAGTGTACTAGTCCTCCAATGCTTTTTGGCCATCTTACTGTAG